GAAAGAGCTCTCCACGAAGTCACATGGCCAGAATTTATTCACATGGCCACATGTAGCTACTAGGAAGGTACAGAAATACTGTTCTTAGCTGGGCATACTGATGCTCTTAAGCAAAATGATGGTATGCTAATTAAGGAAGAAAAGAAAATTGATGTGAATGGGTAGCCATTTCTGCCACAGCTCCTTTTTACACAATCATATCATGGTGTTTCAGAAAGACTATTTAATTTAGAGTACATCATTTTACTTACTGTCATTTCGTTTTGAACCATATGTTGGTTATATTATGGAGAACACCAAAGGAAAACATGTTTATTATTTCTGTGGTCAATCATACTGATGTATTGAGAGTCTACTGTGTCTTTTTTTCCCTTCTTTCCTATCCATCTGCTAGTCTTTTTTATTTTTTTTTCTTTTTTCTCAATAAAGAAGCCCAAGAACCCACAAAAAACAGGGAGGGTATGAGGAAGCCAAGGTCAAAGGTGGCCCTCCCACATTTTAGCTGCGTGACTCTCAATCTGATGAGTATAATGCACCCACCTCCAAGGTGTGGGGAGGGTTCACACAACACTGTGTATAAAAACCCTGTGGGCATAAGAGCCACTCAATTAAAAAAAAAAAGTTCTTTGATCCCTGCCTTCATTTAAACAATGAAGGACAATTGATTGTAAAATCAACCCCAAAATTCTGACTTCTTTGATGGGTTCCCACTATAAGAAAATAGGGATGTTTTGATGCGGAAAATGTCCCATCCAAAAACATGAGCGCTCTGCCCTGAGGTTTTCTCATTCTCGCCAGAGCTGGTGGAATCCGCCTGCTTAAGCGTACATGTCAGTGTGGGAAGGTGACACCTATGAAATCAAGTGAGTTTGAACAAGTTCTTTTGCCTCCTCTGGGTCTCCTGGAATACCATCCCTTGCCCAGTAAGCTCATGGATTGGCTGTTGAAGGAAAACACTTGGGTGACTCTGAAACTCTCAAAATGCGCTCCTTGAATCAACAGCAGGGGGCATCATCTGAGAAGTGGTTAGAAATGCAATCACCCGGCCCCCCTCCAGGCATACTGAATGAGAAAGGTGTGTTTAAACAAGCCTTCCAGATGGTTCTGGTGGAAGCTAAAATTTAAGAACCACTGCTCTAAATAAAATGCTTGTCTTTTATTAGCATACTTTTCTCTCCACCAAGGAGTCACGACTCTCTGCCTTCCGTCTCTGCTCAGGCAGAAATGCTGTCAAACGCGCAGTTCCTTCTAACAAACGCCGTCTTTCCAACCGGGCGAGGTCTTGCTCTGTAGACCTTATTTGCACACTGACTAAAGCTCTTATAATCCAACTGACACAGACTGAAGTCATTGCCAAACCTCGCTGTTGGGAGTAACACCTTGAAGAAAGGCCTTCGGCTATTTCGTTTTCCTAAACCAGTTTATTGCGCTCAAAATGCTTTTGTCTGGGAGAAAGGCACCCTGTACGGCCACACCCAGTGCAGAATCACCGGGCATCTCTACCTGGGAATGTGTCAGTGGAGCGAAGTTCCTAGCACGTTGCACAGCCCTGCTTTTGCAGGAAGATGCTCAGTGTACACAAGAGGCAAAATCAAGTTATCAACCCACCAGATAATAGCTTGGTACTGATCATCACTGATAAAATTCTGTTGGATTTGATTATTTACTTGTAAAAATTAACAAGTGAAGCATGTTTGGGCTAAAATGAGCAGTCTGCAGGATTTTCAGGGGGTGGTGCCAAATTTAATTTTTGTAGTGCCAGAAAGTATACTAAATATTTTCCCCTTACTACTGGTATGCTTGGTGTTTGTTTGGGGCTATACGGTAGTTTTATTATGGAAGATGCCAGAGCATTTCCAAGCACGCAACATTACCGTGTTCAATCAGAGACAGATTGGGAAAGAGAGCGATTTCTCCGTGATGCCCATCTGTCTGCTAATCCCCTTTGTTCAGTGAAGAGCTTGCAAAATCCAGCTCCTGAACACCAGGAGAAGACACAGAAGTCAATACCAAGGGATTATTTTTCCTCCTGGATTTGATCAGGCTTTGAAGAGCTTTGGAAGTGGTGAAGGACTGACTCACTCTCCTTCCTCAGAGCAAGTCAGATCCCTCACCATGTGATATGGGGGTGATTTGGTAGCTTGTTAATTCATATTGGCCAATTTGGTTTAATAATGGAGCGTCCTAGTCAGGTCAGTTTTTAAGTCCTCCACCACATAGTCAGTTACCTTGTGAGAAATTATTTGAGCACATTTTATATTCGAGGAATTATTGGAATGCTGGTAGAAAAGATGCGTTTTCAGTGGTGGCGATCAGTAGGCTTAAACTTATAAAAGGCAACTCAAGATGTCCAGCCTGGAAAGATGTTCCAAAAGAGTAGTCACTGTCTCTGTTGGATGAATAATTCAGTCTTTAGGATGGACCTCAGCACGCCGAGGTATGTTGGGACTCCTTTATCCTCTAGTCTTAAAACGGCGTGGAAAGTCTCCAACCCAGTCTCCAGGTGTGGCCCTTGCCCAGGATGGTGTCATCAGAGCCCTTCTGTAAAGGACTGGGAATTGAGCGAAGCCACTCAGTCTAGGATGGGCTCTTGATCTGAAGTCATTCAGACTCAAGCCCCGTGAAGAGCAGGCCTTCAGAGAGAGAAGACTAGAACACAGGTCAGAGGCTCAGAGAGACGGGAAGTCCCATTTCCTCATGAGGCCCTCCCATAATGCTGCGTTTCTTGAGAAGAGCACATCTTTATAATAATTTACCCTTTACCCCGCCCCCCAAAACCAAACTAGCTTCAGTTGCATTTTATTCTTTGCAGCCTTCTTTCCTTGACCAGCGTAGGTGGGGTCTCCCCAGGTTTGGTCTCACTCTACAAGCCAACAGTGTTGCCTGACATCCTACAGTGCAAGAAAGGGCAAGAAAATCTGGATTGTTCCATCTGGAGGATGCCAAGCTGGACAGCCCACTTATTGCTATGTATTTGTATTATTTATTGTTTGGGAGCCAACTGCTTTGCCTACACTCTCACTGAATTGCCACAGTCTTATGATAAGGATTCTGAGAGATTTTGTTAACTTGCTCAGGAACAGAGAGATGGGAGATGACGGAGCCACGACTGGGGCTTCCCATCTCCCTGGCCATGCTGTGCAAGGCAGAATGCCCACCTGGGTCCACCTTGGGCAGCATCAGAGAGGGCTTGTTCAAGGTACCAATTCGGAAAATGAATCTGCTCTGGGAAGTGCAGAGGGGAGTGTGTGAGTCTTCAGGGGTGACTGAGTGGAGGGTCATTGGAGCTCAAATTAGACTCTTCCTTATCAGGCATCCACAGTGACTGATTTTATATTCGCTGTTGTCCCTAATGTTCTGTAACTATAACGGGAGTTGTGAGAATGACAAAGTGATGTTGTCACAAGACCTCTGCGCAAGTAATTCCTTGACTGGGAAGGCAGAGCCCGTCCCCCAAGACACAGGAGCTGGACCTGTTTCTCCGTACCTGGCACTTACCTGGTCAGGCACATGGGGCACGGTTCTCCTGAGCACGGGATGGTGTGCCGGGCTCTCATGGGCTCGTTACCAGCTTCTGACCCCAACCTCACTCATGATCTGGGCTTGTATTTCTTCTCAGAGAGGGTGCTGGTAACCTGTGGGCTAAACCTGGAACCACCGCTTCCCAGCCCGGGGACGAGGCTCCCTGCCAGCTGCCTCTAGGGAGGGGTTGCCGGGCTAGTCAGCTAGTCTGGGGAGAAGTCTGTTCACGTTTGCCTTTGGGATTTGATCGGGAGGATGATATGCACGTGATGGTGAACAATGATGATCATTTCTTCGGAAAAGAAGGGTGGCCTTCACATTTTTTTTTAGGCCTTGTCATTGCAAAGCCTTCTCCCCTTCTCTTCTGACATTTACAATTTGGTTTCTGGAGATCAAAGAAGACAGAACTTTTGCAACGCTTCACTCCTGCATTCCCAAAACACGTGTTCCCATCCAGGGCTCCCTAAACTCAAGGGACTGTGACCAAGTTTGCGGAGTGTAACAAATGCGATGAATTTAGAGCCCCACGTCTTCTGCCTTCTCCCTTTTGCTGAATGAATGCTTTGTTTCGCAAGAGCTGGTCATGATGCTAAGAGATAGTCGAAAAGTATTTTCCATGATGTCATCTGAGCTTGCGGGTTTGGGTTTTGTGTGTGTGTGTGTGTGTCTCCTATATAAAGCATACCTTCTGTTTTGGCCAGTATTTTTTCTTTCCCCGTTTTTACCTGCAGCTGGATGGCAGACTGTCGGTTTTCTTTTCTCAGGCGAAATTAGATGTTTGGTGCTTTCCCAAGTTGTTGTTAGGGCTGAATGAGCCTCAGACACTACACGGATAAGTCCTAACAGCCGTAAACAGGAGCATTCTAATTCTAGGATGTACCAAAAAAACTGACTTTAACGGTGATTTTTAATTACACGCTCTGTATCCCGAGTTTAGTGACTCTGACAGATCTGAGCTGCTGCCTATCCTTGCAAAGAGCTTAAAACCTGGAGGGCTTTTCATGTAGGTGGAGGCTGAGGGACCCAGGAGCTCTCCCAGTGCCAAAGACCAGCTTTGACTCCAGCACCGAGGCAGGCGCTGACGCATCCCTTTGGCTAGGAAGGCAGGTTACATGCCGGAGACTCACAGAGAAAATGGTAAAGTCAGCTCCTGGGGGAGCCTGCCGGGAAAGCCCTACCCTCCGGGTTCACCAGCACCAGTTTGCCGAAATCTCCTTTTCTAGGAACTTTTGCTGGCTTTGTTCTGCCCTTGAAGAGCGAAGAAAAGCCCCAAGACATGGGCGATTGGCAGGACTCTTTCCTGAAGGGTGAATTTCGCTGCTTGCACTGAGAAACTCGCACACCCTTGAGTTTCACGAAGGGTGGGGACAGCGGGAAGTAGACGGTGCCCTGTTGTGGGAATCACCTTCCTAGGATGGAGGGAATGGCCGAGTGGTTTGAGCAGTGGGCGAGTTACCTGTGTGCCTTCCGTCCTTCAGGTACACCAGTACTACAGCTGTCTCCCAGAGGAGAAAGTTCCCTATGTCAACAGTCCTGGAGAGAAACTGCGAATCAAGCAGCTCTTACACCAGCTGCCACCACATGACAATGAGGTAAGAGGCGAGAGGGGCCTTCTAAAGACTCCCCTTAGACTCTTTGGAATTGTTACCTTCTTCAGAATCAGAATGCTGTGAGCAGTGCGATGCCCAACGAAGAACTCTGGCAATTTATTTTAGGATTTTAGCTTCCTTAATTAGAACCGAGAGAAACTGTCAGACACCTCCTAGAGGAGGTTGTGGAAAAACAGAATCTCATTATGCGCTGGCTTCGCCTCTGTGCCTGGCACTAGGAGCTATTTGGGGCGGCCAGGGAGCACTAAAACGGGAAAGCTCAAGTTCAGGTATGCTTAGTTGAAGAATATGCAGTGCTGGTTGCCTGAGCACGTTAGATGATTGAGATTCCCCGGACAGTTCAAACCCAGCACAAACTCTGTGACTCTCTTGAATTTTCAGCATCGTTTCACAGTCAGTGAGTGTGCAAGTGTTCCACGTTACACTGCAGTAGAAGTTACATGTCCCGACTTGCAGCTGTGAACATCTGTGTTTTTTGTCACTTACAGTCCATCTTGTCAAGGTCATCCTTTGTACCCTTGAAAGTACAACTTGCAGGCTGTTCCTCTTTTCTGAACCCAGACACACAGCAGCACTGTAAGCAGGCATTCCACCTCTTTGAAGTCAAACTGATCATAAAAGGAAATTTGTAAATAACGCTTTTAAAAGATCATCATGCTTGCGAGATTTCGATTTGCAAACTAGGAATTACTTTTTAAGTATCTGATTTTTAAAAATAGGGATCCAACAGGATCAAATTGTCCACTTCACTCCAATTGTGATTTACATGAAAACATCATTTTAAGTTGAAAGGAGAAATTTAAAACCCCTTTTAGAGAGCGGGACCCCTTTTTACCACCTGCCCCCACCCACAAGTTCAGTCCCAGGGGAACTGAGTGAGTGCTTTTTAAGTCTTTATCTTCCCACACTTGAATTAAAGGAATAAATCTAGAGCCTCAAAAATAAATTTGAGTAAGTGGAGCAAAAGCTTAAAAACTGAAGCAACTCTCTAGAAAGAGAGCCCCAGTTCCCTTTCCTACAGTTTACCTCAGACTTCATAAGACAAATTTAAATAATGCTTTCTCCTTTAACGAGGAGAGCAAACATTGTAACCAGATGCCCAGTTAACTAATTTGGAAGTGAAAATGCGGGTTATTACAAACAGGGAGGGCATGCCTTTCTTTCAAAGCCTGTCCATAAATTGTCAGTGGTGTAACTGTGTATCCTTTCCCATCATTACAGTTTTCTCTTCATGTGAAGTTTTTTTTTTCAACTTTTTTTGACTTGATAAAAGGAAGTGATGGACTCGTCTGTGCTTCATAGTATAGTTAATTCTATTTATGGTTCACTGTGGTCTCATGAAAAGAGACCCTCCAAGTTTCTTCTTCCTGTTGGTGAGAATTGCTTCTGTGTGACCTAGAGGGCAGATTTTGCCCGTTTGACATGGCTCTTTTAAGGACAAAGTGTGATTCTAAAGTAAATACTTGATCATTCTCTTTTTCGCCCAGATAAGGCCGTTTTGATACATACAGCTTGTTCTGGTTTTCGAATTAGTCCTGGTTCAAAGTTTTCTCTTTAACCATCTGTAGGACAGATCATCTGGGCAATTCAGTTAATTCTCGATGGTCAGGTTACTCTAAAGTAAGGCAGCGGGCAGGGTTAGATGCATGCTTCCCAGAACATGACTTGGGGTGGTATATGGATGTGGCAGTAAATAATGTTGAACCACATCACGAAAAGACTCACTCCCTTTTAAATAGCATTTCATTCCTTGTGACTGAGTGGTTGAATAATCAAGGGGGAAGTTGTAGTTTGAGTGGGTAGGTGTCTCACACCTCTCCACCTCCTTCCTACTAATCTCTATTTTTAAGTGACGGTGTTAAGAATCTCCGTTTCAGGATCTCACACGAGCAGAAGTAGCCAGCTACAATCTAACAATACGGTTTCGTCTTCACTCTAATGTTTAGCTTTATGGTCACCTTGTTTTTCACAGGTGATACTGCTTTTCCATTTATAGTCACAGGATAATTTCTTTTTACATAAATGTATTCAATAAAAAAAGGGAGTTCGTTTTTAAAACAGTATTAAGTAAACCATAGTTCAAGATTACAACAAAATTCCCAAGGTGTGCATAAATAAAAGAGAAACTGGGAGACAGCAGATCTGAGTATCTTTAACATCCCTCCCTTAATTCTGTGAGTTTCTGTGTTTCACACAAAGGAAAAGATCTTATGCAAGTTGATGAATTCACCGAAGCCTGGGGGCAGTCCTCTCCCTCCTACGCACAGAGAAACACACAGGGACTTCCGTGAAGGAACACAGATAACTCTGGACCAACTCCTCAGTCTCACGCCTTTGGTTCCCACCTCCTTTTGGGAAACAGAAGCTGAGAGCATGTGGACGGCTAGTCTGGCTCTCTGGCCTGGAGCCATTCTTTGGTGTCAAGGATCACTGATGTGGGCACATACATGGCAGTGAAATTATCACAGTCAGTTGGAAGACCCAGATCAATCTGAAAGAAGGAGAAAGTCCTAGATCTTGACTAGCACAAAGCTTATCCCAGGTGACTCGGATCTCAGTGTGACGAGCAGAGTTGGGTAGTTACAGACCATTAGCCTGCCCAAGACTTGGGCTCTGGAGTTTACAGCCCTTAGTAAGCTCTCTTGAGGTCACCAATTTCAGGTAGAGACTCACTTTCAGTAGCCCCAAGCCTGGTGGTGGTGAAGTGCTGGCCAGGACCATAAAACCAAATGGGAGTGTGTTTGATGAGAGAGCTCCGAGGCGTGGGCTTCAGGAATCCTTGGGAGCAAGGGTGACCTCCGCCTGCCATCCTCTGTGTCTGCTCAGGTCCGCTATTGCAACTCCCTGGATGAGGAAGAGAAGAGGGAGCTGAAGCTCTTCAGCAACCAGAGGAAACGTGAAAACCTGGGCCGAGGCAATGTCAGGCCCTTCCCAGTCACAATGACAGGAGCCATCTGTGAACAGGTGAGCGTGGATTCCGCTGAGCGGCAAGGGGCATCCTTCCCCTCATTCATTCGTGCCACAGTTATTGTACTGAGGACCTGTTTTGTGCCAGGCACAGTTGTGGGCCTGGGGGATACAGCTGTCAACTGTCAACAAAAGTTTGGAAGCTTAATTTTGCCCTTGTAAGAAGTTCCATTCTAGGAAAAGAAGCCAGACCATGACATGAGTAAGTAAGATGGAAAAAAAAAACAAAACAGCGGGGCAGGGGATCAGTGCTGGGAGGGTGGGTTGGTTGCAATTTTCAGTAAGGTGACTGTGAAGGCCCCTCAAAGACATGCAGGAACCGAGGGAGTGAGTCATGCAGATGGCGAGGGAAGGAGGGGTGTGTAAGGAAACAGCCAGTTCAAAGGCCCTGTGGCAGGAGCAGTTCTGTTGTGTTTGAGCAACAGCGGCTTGGCTAGTGTGGCAGGGCAGAGGGAGTAAAGGAAGAGAATGAGCAGCTGAAGTCAGGTTTCGTGGATGGTTACGTAAGCCACGAGAAGATGGGCAGCTGCTGGAAGGACTGGAGCAGAGGAGTGACGTGATGCATTTATATTTTACAATGAGCGCTTTAGATAATGGAGTGTTCCTGCATCATGGGTCAACCAGTGCCGTCCGAAGAGGTGGTAAATGGTCATCTCCTTGGGTTTGCGGGTTCTTTAGCGAAGTGCGTCAAGCCCCCTACATTCTTTCTAGAACCTCACTGAGTTGAAGGGTCTGCATGTGTTTTTCCTTCTTCTCTCCTGTAGAGTGCTCCAGGCACGGTGGAGTTGAGTTTTAAAGAAAGCAGGGTATCTTCAAATCCAGCCTGCCTGGGTTCACCCTGCCCCACCTCTTGGCTACCAAAAGCATTCTGGGACTGATGGTCCTTTTTTGCAGCGGGGTGGGTTGGGGGTAGCGTTTATCTCAGCCCTGCTGCTGGGAGAGTAGCCCCACCTAACTCCTTAAGCCCTTTAGGGACCCAGTCATGTCCTGAAGATCCATGAACCGGATTAGTGAAGAGAGGGTGAGATACTGCCTGAGGGGAGGGGGTACCACTTGGGGGCCCTTTTTTGAGATTTCAGAGGGATGATGTGAGAAGGTTCAGGTAGATGGAATGGAGGTGGATGGAGATGCTGCTTCACAGGGGAGCCAAGGGACCAGAGATTGGCAGTAGAGTCTTCATCCTTGACACCCACCCCTGAGATGCAGGTGGTCAGAGGTTAAGATGTGAGATTCTGTGTGCTCCATTCAGGGCATCTGCCGCTCTCAGGTCCTTCACCTCGACCAGCTCAACTGGGCTCCCCTAAGACAAAGGGAAGTTCAGGCATTTCTTGGGCAGATGTCAAGAGTGGTATAGAATAGTGGTGAGAGCGCAGAGGCGCAAAGACAGAAGTTTGACTCGTGTTTCGGCCAGAGGACCCTGAGCATGTTACTTTTCCTCAGTTTTGTCATCTGCAAAGTGGGGATAACAAACACCTATGGTATAGAATTACGGTGAGGACTAAAGGGGGTTCTGTTATTGTGAAAGTAATGAAACACGGAGGCCATCAGACTGGGGTGGCTCCCATGCCTTGGGAGCCTGCATCAACAGACCAAACCCTGAGCCCGTCCGTGTACTGAAATCTGAGAAAAGGAAAGTGAAGGACAACCAATTACAAACAGGCAACTGGGCTTCCCCCCAATAAGGGGACCGCTTAAGCTCTAATCACTGCAGTAACGTCCTTGCTTTGCTTCCATGTCTTCTCTATAAAAACCCCTCCCCGGGTTCCTGTCCTTGGAGAGTTCCCAGCCTCCTCCAGTTCGACGCTTGCTGCCCAATTCGAATCAGTGTTGGAGCAAAGAACTTGGACAACTTCCATGTGCCTCAGTGTATCTTTTACCAGTAGGCGTACATCAGCTCTGGTGACAGCATCACAAAAGGCGCGGGTGTCACCGTCTGTAACGTAATGTTTTTCTTTTGTCCGGTCACTCACATGAATGAGTCCCCAGAGACTATTCCGTGAGACCTTGACGTCCTTTCCTGTGAAGCATCTCAACCCTTCTGATGTCCATGGTGTGGGAAAGGTCTAGAGGTAGCATTTCTACTCTTGAACACGTTGCCCTCAGAGCTCAGCTGCTCGTGCGGGGCCTGAGTGCTGGACCCCCGGCAGTGACCCTCGGGGCCAGCGCCATGGTCAGCAGAGAGCCTCCCCCTGGACCTGTTGCCTCACACTTTTCTCCTCCCTCAAAGGTCCTCAGACCGTAATCACATAATCATTTTATCCCGACTCCAGCTGTAAGCCTGAGTCATCAGGGATTCTGTCTTGTTCCTTTGTGGGTAACGGAAAGAACTTTGGAAAATGAGTGAGAAGATAGGGAAGGAGAGGGAAGAAGCCTTTCCCATGGTCTGGCCATAGGAGAGGTACCTTTTCCATCAGGACTATGTGAAAAGATGTTAGAGGAAGCAGGCTAAAAGCATGCCTGAAAGGCTTCTAGCGCAGAGAGTTAAAGATGGGTGTATTTTTATGAACCCACTCCCCTACCATCCCCAGTGCAGACCCCCACCTCCTCCCAGGGCCCCTCCAACCTCCCCTCCTCCGCTCCCCGTTTCCTCACCCTACTCCTTCTGGCGTTAGATGTGGCTGTGCCTCTGGAGAGTGTTTGGAATATCTGAAAGATAATGAGACCTTTTGCTTTCCAAGTTTGCCTCCTGCCTGTTGTTATGCTAACAGACTTTTTCTTTCCTTCCCACTTTTGTGATGCCTTATCTTCTCAGTGACGGGATCTGCATCTGAGTTATAGGTCCCCAGAAGGAAGGGGTGGGGGGTGGGGGGGCAAGAAAAGCCTTCCTGCCGTGTACATAAAGGAGGTAGCAGTCACCAGGTTGAGAATAGCGCTCAGTAACCTGCTAGAGATGTTGGCATTGGTGGTCCGGTGGTTCATCCTGCTCAACGTGGCACTGAGAGATGGGGACCTGGGGACTGGCGTTGCTCCTGACCTTTCTGTTTGCCTCACAGTGCGGAGGCCAGATCAACGGTGGGGACATTGCTGTGTTCGCGTCACGCGCCGGCCACGGGGTCTGCTGGCACCCGCCCTGCTTTATATGCACTGTCTGCAACGAGCTCCTGGTGGACTTGATCTACTTTTACCAAGATGGGAAGATATACTGTGGCAGGCACCACGCTGAGTGCCTGAAGCCGCGCTGCGCAGCCTGCGACGAGGTCAGAGCCCACCCCTGGGGCCCCCACCATCACCCCTCGGTGACACGGTAGCCTGCGCGTTGTCCTGTGGCTCCCGCACGCAAGGAAACCATAGGCCATCCACCTCCTTGTATTAACCCGGCCAAGAGAGAAGCCCCACCACGCCTGGCTGCTAGGGTGTGGTCTGCTCTCCTGAACTTGACGGTCTCGTGGGCTGCTATGTGGGGAGATGGTGCCTAGGGCCGCAGACACTCCCCGGGGCCCGCCCCTGGCACTGGGTCAGTTTAGAACTCTTGAGAAAAAGAGAGAGATTTCATCCCACCTCCCAGGGAGGAATCATCAGTAACGGTGTCCCATATGCCTTAAAATCTTGCATTCCCTGAGATTCCAGGGGACAGACTGGTTTGAGAAGAGCAGAAAATGGGTAGCATTATTTGATTCTCCCATAATTTACAACCATTCTGATGAGGATTCAGGGGGCAGGGGGCTACTTCTGGATGCCTCTGCCTCACACCCGGAGAGGGACTTGAATTTGCTTCCCCGGGTCAGAAAGTAGAGTGGACACAGGCTCCTACCTGTGTTTTCTCCCGGCAGAAGCACACGCAGCTGTGACCTGTGAGCTGAAAGACGGAAAAACTGGGTTAGCTTGGAAGTTTGGAGGAGAAAGGAGAATGTTTTAAACCTGACCGCTTTATGGGGATAATTTGGAGAATGGTCTTGGACAGGGGTTTTTTTCCTGCATGAAGTAGATGGTTGGTTCTTTCTGACCCTATAAACAGCACGCACTTTTGTCAGCCGGAGTCCACTGTGACATGGGCACTTCTTCCTTACAAACTACCGATCAGAGACTCGCTCTCCTAGGAGGAAGTCGATCAGCCTTAACCAACATGAATTCTCATACTAATAATGAAGTTCAGAAGAGAGCCTCTGGGCAGAGAGTTGGTCCACCTCTGTGGTTCTAGGCCACCACTTCACCTGAATGGCTCAGTTCCCACATCTGCAAACTGATGCTCGTAATATGACTTTATATTCTCTAATGGCAGAAAGAGGATGATTAAAATCCTTTGAAATTTTTGCTTATAGAGATTACAATTCATACGGCGTAAGATTTACCCTTTTAAGATGTACAGTTTAGTGGCTTTTAGTACATTCACAAAGTTGGGCAACCGTCACTTCGATCTAATTCCAGAACGTTTACATCACCCAAAAAGAAACCCCATATTCTTGAGCAATCCCTCCCTTTCTCCTCCTCCCCCAAGCTCCTGGCAGCTGCTGATCTGTTCTCTGTCTCCATGAATTTACGTATTCTGGACATTTCACATAAATGGACTAATGCAATGTATGACCTTTTGTGTCTAGCTTCGTTCACTTAGCACGATGTTTTCAGGGTTCACCCAAGTTACAGCAAGTATCAGTAATTTCCTTTTCATGGCTGAATAATAATCGTGTATGTCTATCACATTTTGTTTAACCAGTTATTAATTGATGGACATTGAAGTTTCCACTTTCGACTGTTACGAACAACACGGCTATGAATATTCATGTAAAGGTTTTTGTGTAGACATATATTTTCCACTCTCTTGATTATATACCTAAGAGTGGAAATAACAGATCATAGGGTAGTTCTGTGTTTTAACTTTTTGGAAGAATCTAATCTGTCTCCCAAAGCAGCTACACCATTTTACATTCCCACTGTCAGTGAATGAGGATTCCAGCTTCTCAAATTCTCCTCAACACTCATTACTGTCTGTCTTTTTCATCATCATCACCTTAGTGGGTAGAAGTGCCATCACATGGTGGTATGGATTGGCTTTTCCTTAGTGGCTTGTAATGTTGAGCATTTTTTCATGCATTTATTGGCTATTTACATAGCCTCTTTTTTTGGTCTAGTTAAACCTTATACCTATTTTTTTCAATTGGGTGATTTTTCTTTTTGTTGTGACTTTGTACGGGTTGTTTATATATTCTGGATACGAATCCTTTATCAAATACATGATTTGCAAGTATTTTTTTTCCCACTCTGTAGTTACATTTTCACTTTCTTGATGGTGTCCTTTGAAGCACAGAAGTTTTTTGATTTTGATGAACTCCAGCTCATCTATTTTTCCTTTTGTTGCTTATGCTTTTAGCATCGTAGCTAAGAAACCATTGCATAGTTGCCTAATCCGAGTTCATGAAAGTTGACACCAATATTTTCTTCTAAACATTGTATCGGTCTCTTGCTCTTACATTTAGGTCTTTGATCCCTTTTGAGTTAATTTTTATGTGTGGTGTGAGGTAGGGGTTCACCTTCATTCTTTTGCCTAAGGAAGTTCAGTTGTCCCAGCCACATTTGTTGAAGAGACTGTTCCTTCTTCCACTGACTGTCCTTGTCACCCTTGTCAGTGATCATCTGGCCATAACTGTCTGGGTTTATTTCCGGACTCCCACTTCCGTTCTGTGGACTTACACCAGTACTGCACTGCCTTGATTACTATCATTTGTAGTTAGCTTTTAAATTTGAAATTTTAAAAACTTTGTCTGGGGGGCCAAAACACAAATGCTCCTCAAGGCTAGGCAGTTATCGTAAATGAAGGTGACTCACTTTAAGGCAACAGTGAGTGGTGAAAAATACGACAGAGTACAGAACTCGTCACTCATCTGAAAGCAGCGACCTGTTGTCTCAGATCTAGCTTCTGCTTGCCACGCAGGAATGTGTTCCCAGCATTGCCAAATAATGTATTTGCAAAAGAAGAACCAGGATTCCGGCTGTTCCTACGACCTTTCCCCTTTTTAAAAATATTGTATTTAAGCCAAATAAAATAGATAATGACCCAAGTTCCCATAAGCGGTCAGCTTTTAGTCCTGCTTTATATTCTTTAGGGTAGAAAATTCTTTCTCTTACTAAAATGTAGTTAAATTCATCACTGACCTGGCCAGAAGCTGTTGAATTGTGCTTTAGGCAAATCTAAACGTGGGAGCTGATATGGGTATAGAATGAACATATACTTAGAGATTTTTGTGGGTGGGACCTATTTTCCTACCCTTCTAGTTTGGAGCCCTGATACCTTGCGCCCTTTAAAGTACATTCGCACGGCTGGGTCTTAACCCCCAACCATTTGTCTTCCCCATCTCCAGATCATCTTTGCAGACGAATGCACAGAAGCGGAGGGGCGGCACTGGCACATGAAACACTTCTGCTGCTTTGAGTGCGAGACAGTGCTGGGCGGCCAGCGCTACATCATGAAGGAGGGAAGGCCCTACTGCTGCCACTGCTTCGAGTCCCTGTACGCGGAATATTGCGACACCTGTGCCCAGCACATAGGTGAGGCGACGCTTGGTGCTTAGCTTGGTCCTGCTGTGACCGGATCTCCTTTATGCCTGGTGTAGTTAGAATCCCTTTGGTTGCAAGTGACAGAAACCCAGGTGATACTAGCCTAAGTGAAAAAGGAAATTTCTTGGAAAAGCCAAGGAGTAAGTTGGTTTCAGGTAAGGATGGATCAAACGTTCAAAGTCTTCTTTTTCCCTCTGTGTCGCAGCTCAGTTTGCCTTCTGTTGGCATCATTTGGAAGCAAGATGCCTTCACAAGGTGGCCAAGATGACCTCACCTCAGTTATATATAATCTTAGCAGTTGTAGTCTCTAAAAGGATGGGATTGTGTCTTTTCCCATATCCAAGTCATGTCTTCCAAATAGGAATCCTATAGGCCTTCGTTTAATATGTTCCACCCTGAAAGGAAGAGAGTAGGGAATTCCTATTGGTCTGCCCGAGTCGTAGACCCACCCCTGAGGTGGGGCTAGATGATGGACAGACCCACTAGCAAGGGCAGGGGGAGAGGTCTCAGGGAAATAGGAGGGGGGAAGATAAACAGGGGTCTTCTACAGTGTCCTTGGGAGAACTCAGGGGTTAGCAGGGGGAGGAACCAAGGCAGTCCTCTTGGTAGGAAGAGATGGACAAGGAAACCACACGGTTTCTGGCATGCATGCCTTTAAAATAAGAATCAGCAAAAGCTGACCTAGCCAAAAACAAAGCGAGGGAACCTCAAATAGCTCAGAAGCTATCGACTCCCCCGAAAAGTGGCAGATCTGAGATGGTGAAAATCATTTTTCCCTTTAGAAGTAACTGATTTGTTCAGTCCTTCACCACTATTCCCAGTCATGCTGCATCTGCAGCTTCTTCATTCAGCTTGCCTGTTCTGGCACCTTGTGACTGAGCTGCCCTTAAAGAAGAAAAAAAAAATATTGGCAGTGGATGAATGTCTTTGAGGCCAGCAGCCTGATCTCCCTGTGGCTTGTGCAATTCCAAGAAATCGGCTCAGAAGCTGCCAACTTCTTACCTGTAGTGGGGAGATGTGGAGATAATCAGTCTGGGAGCCCGTTTTGCCCCACTTAAAAGATTTTCTCGGAATCAAAAAGAAGTGGCTTTGTCTCCCTGGTTCATCAGAAGTGATGCAGTCCAATGAAAAACTGGCTAGTGATTCGGAGGGCTGTGTGCTGATAAAAATCACAGCTCTGAGGTACCTATTACATGCTTAGTGGTTCTTTCTCGTTGGATAGTTCATGCCATGCACTCAGGACCACTTCCGTGGAGTCCTTCTGAGCTGGAGTCCCTGCCAGGGATCCTTCATCCAGCAGCGTTCCCTCTGGGGGCTGGGGTGTTGTGAAAATCTCCTGTCTTCAACCCCCAAAACCTCCCCTCTCGCAGCTTGATGCCTCAGCCAAGTATTCAACAGCTTCCACTTCTCACAGGGTCACAACAGACAAACTTCCCTCTATTCTGAGAGCTAGGAAATGGGGAGCTTGATTTGGACAGGTGGCTGGCCCTGGGAGGGAGGGCAGGGGGGTGGGCCGTGGTCGGGGGTGTGGCCGTGGGCGGGGTCAGGCGACGTACTGACCCAGCCCTGCTCACCGTGGATTCGGGATCTGCAAGCTGGTGTTTGCATGGATGAAAGGGGTTGACTGCACAGAAAACTTACCTAAGGCGGTGATACCCACTGCTTGTTAGTATTTCTGTTTCTTCTCTCCTTTTCCTTTGAGGCTTAAAAGCCTCTCGAGAAACTGCCACTTCGAATTTTCACTCAGCAGCTTAGAGAAGAGAAAGATGTGTCTGTCACCACAGCATGTACACCTCAGAAGTTCCCCCCGGTGTCTTCTGTGTTTCTGTCTTCTTTTAGCTTTGATTGGCATTCGCTTCTCCTTCCCTCTTAAATCCATAAAAAGGCATCAATGTTTCATCAGAAAAGGGGACCACCGAGGCCCTCAGTACTATCACTGCTGTCATTTAAATGCTGTCCCTGGTTTGTTTGTTTGTTTTCCCTAAATCCACTTTCTTGTAAAACGTACTTTTCCTGTGGTGGGGAAGGAGTATGCTCTGTATAGCACGCATACCACAGTGTCTGGGTACTTGGCTCTGACCATATTATACAAATACTCCATATTTATACAGCCGCTCGGGGCGGACGCTGCATCAGGCAGCCGTTGCCAGGGCAACGGTACTTTTGCCTGCTCACAGCAGAGTAAACAGTCCTATAAACAGACCGAGGCTGTGGCAGCAGTAGACACATACACCCTCAGAGAAGTACTTAAAGGGCTTAGAGAGGGAATAAGAAAGGAGCGCTTAGATGTGGAACGGCAGAGCCCTTTTCCAGATGTTTAGAGTTCAACAGCAGTTCAGAGCCCCATCTGACATGGGTGATGTTTATCAGGGACCACGTTCCACTGCCTGCTGGGCCGCCTTGGAACACGCCTCCCCCTTCACTGTCTCCACTGAGGCCCAGCCTTCTGCGAGGCCCCCATCCCCGGAACGAGGCTGCCACATCCGAGCGTGTGTCCTCGGGGAAGCACGGAGAAGGTGGAGGACAGGCCGTGGGAACTGGGCTTGATGCATCCCTCTGACGAGGGGTGGGTAGGGCTGCAGCTGCGTGGGCTGCTGTGCTGAGTCGGAGCTCCCAGTGAGGACCCAGGGCAGCAGGGGTGTCAGCACAGGCTCTCTGGAGAGGAGGGGACAGTGGGAGCAGGGAGGGAAGACCGAGCCAGCCTCAGAGTTCCTTCCTGGACAGCATCCAGGTATCAGCCCTCAGAGCAGAGAGGGAGACAGACATCAAGACCTAATAAAAGCACAAGAAGAGTACTGGGAGGAGTTAGCAGAGTCTGAGTGCACTCTGTGTATTAACTCAGTCCTCGCCGCAACCCTGTCCCTGTTTTACTGTGGAGGAGACCCAGGCACAGAGACACGAAGCCACTTGCCTAGGGTCACACAGCCCGACAGCAGCCAAACCAAGACTGGAGCCAAGCTGATGGGCTTCAGCTTCTTCCCAACCAGCTGGAGTGGCACTGAGCTGCGACTTGCACCTGCGTTTGACAGTCCTGATGCCTCACTCTTTGCTGCTAGGGAGTCCTGCCTGCCTGTGCTGCCTGCCACTGCTTCCCCCCGCAGCCCAGGGAGGGGACGTGTGTACGGAGCCCCAGCTCTGGGCCCACTGTCTCCAGCCCCACCCTGCTGGTCCTCACCCCTCCTGGGAATTCAGTGTCCCTCTCCTCTCAGGGTGGCCCTTGTGGCTCCTGTCCCTCTAAAAGTCCCCTCTTGGTCCTTAGGGCCTGACTCCTAAGTAAACAGAGACCCCTCAGTTTGAGGAGGAGCTCATAGGGAAAGAACTTACCTACCTCTCCCTCCCTGGGCTCCCAGGGTGTAAGGGTAGGTGGGGGGAGCACAAGGAGGACCCGGAGAGGCTACTGTGCCCTTTGCCTTTTGTCCTGTGCCCTTTGCCTTTTGTCCTTACCCCCTCCTCTTCCCTGTTTCTTGGTCACGTCCTCTCTAGACGAGTCGCTAGAGGTTATTCCTGGAAAGTTCAGGTTCAATATTCTCAACCACCCAAGGTGAAGGTTCACATGAGTACTGCTTTGGGGAAAGACGTTTATCGCAAGACATCAGGGGTCTTGCAGAGGTCCCCTCCCATCCCACAGTCACCGCTGTGTCTGCATTCTCAGCAGGCTGTCCCTACGGGAGTGGGGGGGCCCTCACAGCTCCCGGCTCCCAATCTGCCAGTTTAGCCACTGCTGTCAACAGAGTCTCCCTGTGTCCCTGTCTTAGCAGCATTCCCAGGCGAATCTCCCATTGGCCCAGTGCAGGTCACATGCCCATCCCTGAACTCGTCACTGGGCTGGGAGATACGATTTTTTTCCTGGCCAGTGCTGCGTCCAGACGTGGCTTTTGCCCTGCCCAAAGCCCATGGCCCCAGGGTTGGCAGGAAAACGGCAGAAGAGAGGGTCCCAGAAGCAGGTGTAACAAAATTACATAAACCAGGCTCTGCCTTGGCATGGGGAGGAAGTGTGTTTTCTCCTCTCCTGATGCAGTTAACCAAGCTTATGGAGGGGCAGTATCTTTGACATGCCATTTCCAAGTGCTTCCTTACCAAGAGCTGAAGTCCTCTCTTGCTTTCCACTGAGCTGCTACAGTGATTACCCTGAGGAGTGGCATACACTGGTGACAGGTTCAATTCATTCATCCCTGCCACACAGGAAGAGCGCCTAGGATGCAGCAGGCCATGTGCCTGGAGAAAGTTCATCTTAGAACTTCACCTTCATTCATTAACAGATGCACAAACGTGGTGGCTCATTGTCGAGCAGTCGTCACGCTGTGAAGAAAAACACAGCAAGTAAGGGTGGAGGATGGTGGAGAGTAGCTGTGAGGGCAGACAGGAAGACTTGTCCAAGGAGCTGGCATTTGAGCAGACCCCTACGTAGAGGGAGAGAGACAGTTATCAAGGTCATGGTTCGGAGCCAGGCTTCCTGGGTACAGAGCTCATCGATGATTTTTAGCCCTTTTACGTTAGGCAAGTTATTTAACCTTATCTGAAAAATGAACGTAATATTAGAAACCTGCCTCATACAGCTGAGAAGTTAAATGAGTTTGCAGTATATGCAAAGCATTTAAAACAGAGCTTTCTCATCCCTTAGTATCATTATTGCTGTTTATCCTGGAGGAACGTGTCCTGGGCAGAAGGATTCATGGACAGGCAGTTTTATCTAGTTTCTGTGCGCTCAGAGCAAATGAGTTATGGAGGAGCTGACTGGCAGAGCAAGGAGGCTGTCATAATAGGATGTGGATACTATTTATCTAGGGGCCTGATCATTGATTCATTGACATTTTATTCTGTTGCATCTGGAACCCTGAGCCAAACCAGGGTGCTGTATGTTTCGCATCATAATGCAATTCCCCGAGCAGCCTGTCAGCCTCTTCCATGTCTCTTCTTTCCCCAGGGATCGACCAAGGTCAGATGACCTACGACGGCCAGCACTGGCATGCCACTGAGACCTGTTTCTGCTGCGCTCACTGCAAGAAATCCCTCCTGGGGCGCCCGTTCCTCCCCAAACAAGGCCAGATATTCTGCTCGCGCGCCTGCAGTGCCGGGGAGGACCCCAATGGCTCCGACTCGTCCGATTCAGCCTTCCAGAACGCCAGGGCCAAGGAGTCCCGGCGCAGCGCCAAAATCGGCAAGAACAAGGGCAAGACGGAGGAGCCCCTGCTGAACCAGCACAGCCAGCTGCAGGTGAGTTCCAACCGGCTGTCGGCCGACGTGGACCCCCTGTCGCTGCAAATGGATCTGCTCAGCCTGTCCAGCCAGACGCCCAGCCTCAACCGGGACCCCATCTGGAGGAGCCGGGAGGAGCCGTACCATTACGGGAACAAGATGGAGCCAAACCAGGCCCAGAGCCCCTTGCAGCTGCTCAGCCAGTGCAACATCAGAACTTCCTACAGTCCGGGAGGGCAGGGGGCCGGGGCGCAGCCCGACATGTGGGCCCAGCACTTCAGCAACCCCAAAAGGAGCTCATCCCTGGCCATGAAGGGGCACGGAGGCAGCTTCGTCAAGGAGCCCCGAGAGGACTACTACCCGGGGAGGCTGCGATCGCAGGAGAGCTACAGCGATATGTCCAGCCAGAGCTTCAGCGAGACCCGCGGCAGCATCCAGGTCCCCAAGTATGAGGAGGAGGAGGAGGAGGAGGAAGGGGGCATCTCCACTCAGCCATGTCGGACCCGTCATCCCATCAGTTCGCTGAAGTACACTGAGGACATGACGCCCACGGAGCAGACCCCTCGGGGATCCATGGAATCGCTGGCCCTGTCTAACGCAACAGGTAGGCCCTGTTCACCTGGGAAGCAGAGGGTGGGTGGGAATCTGGGGGTGACCCGACGCCGCATCTCAGGATTTTAGTGTTGTGCCCGCCGTGTGCCCTCCTTCACCGGGTTTAACCCAAGTTTCTATGGCTTCTGTCTTTGACTGGATTTCCCTCTAAGCAGCGCCTGAGATAGAAATTAGGATGCCTGTGACGTGCTGAGGATGAGCTCCCAAGGAAAGGGAGTGAGAGAAACACGGCAGGGTCTGGGGAGGAACCAAGAGGAGAATGATGTCTGGGCTGGTGTCCAGCTCAGCTTGATCCCACAGGGTGTCTGGAGGACGAGTTACACCATTCAGTTGGTTTCCTCTTGGGACAAAGAGGCTGATACTTCGCACCACTATATCAGTCAGTCACTGGCTTTGGATTGCTGGAGAGCGACGAGGGGATAAGGATGTAGGTGTGGGCACAGGGCAAGATAGCGCCTGTCAGCCAAAGGCAATACTCGGGAGAAGGGGCAGCTGTGAGCTGGAGGCAGCACTCAAAAAACGGGGTGCCGCTTGGGACATCAGAGCATCCATGGCAGCTTCCATGACTGTTCTGAACCCCAGTATCTCACTGGGGAGTGGTTTTAATATGTAGATAAAGACAAAAGAAATGTGGGTAGTCAAGGAGAAGCCAGGCAGGCTGAGAAGGACAGAAGTTAAGAGAGACAGACAGACAATCCAGTGCTTGCTCTTTCTAACCAGGTGGTCCAGCTGGTCCGTGTGTACGTGAGGACTGATATCAGTGTTCTCTTAGATGGCACTACTCAGTGTGTAAGCTGAGGATCGGGGCTGTCCTCGGTCTACACCGAGATAAGCCCTGAAATTGACAGTGTGTAGAAATTCTTAGAGCGATTTGACACTGCTGTGGCATCCACATGCATGTTCCCTGGGCTCATCTTACTGGTCCAGGTACAGACCAGAATGTTGTAGACCCACAGGTGAGTGGTCTGTGGCATGTGCTGGGTATCAGTCATGCCCAAGTAGGTGGCATATGAGTCCACAATGGAATGAAAAGTTTAGAAACTGGTCCTTGACTACAGAAAGCTGGAGAATACAGCTAGCTAAGATACACTAAGTGTATCTGCACCTTGTGGACGGGACACCACGGAGGGAGACTCACATCTACTCCTTACAGCAGGGATCCCAGAGTCAAATGTGTCTGTCTGGGTGGAGATTGTGACCGCCTTGTGTGTGTCAGCCCCGTCTGGAGCGACGGCCACTACTCACCTCCAGCTGGCTGTTGCCACGTGCAAAGACATTTATTTTTTCAGCCAACAGTGATACAGCTCTTGCCATGGGCCAAACATTATTTTAAGCCCTTTTAAAATGTTCACTCGCTCAATTAAATCACCGCAGCCCTTTGAAAGAGATAGATTCTTAGAATTCGAATTTCAGAGTCGAAGAAAAATGAAGCACAGAGAGGTTGAAGGACTTGCCCAAAGTCACCCAGCTGTTAAAAGGTGAAGCACGAGATCCCAGGGCAGTGCTCTTAAGCACACCAGGCTGACTGTCTAATCGGAGCTCCATGCTGTCAAATCTTCCACTTTTCCCAGAGAAGTTAAACGTGGATTTTTTTGAAATGTGAAATCTGTTTAAACTCTGCTGGGCAAGCAAAACGTGTTATAAGATATCTGTACAGTGTGTTTTTGAATTTTATCCTCCACAGATGCTTTCATAGCTGTGTCCTCATTTGTCCTAGAGGACAAATAGCAGATACCCTTACCCCCATTTTTCAGATGAAAAAAATGAGGCCTTGGTGACTGAGCACCTTGCCTGATGTCATGGAAGTGAGCAGTTAGCACAGAGGGACGACTGCCTGGCTTCCAGCCCAGTTTTTGCTATTTTCAAAAGATTTATGTGCTATAATAATGTAAGAGGCCAGGAGATAAAGATGTAATTCAGACTCTGAAGCAGAGTTTCTCAAAGCTAGACCACCTGCAGGAGAATCATTGGCTGCTTGATAAAAACATGAACTCCAGGGTGTTCCCCCCCAGACCCCGGTGCGTCAGACCCTATGGAGGTGGTGGGGCCCAGGAGCCTGCATTTTAACCAGCTCCCTGCTGGTGCTGATGGAGCCTTTGTCTGAGAGCGGTTGTTGCTGGGTTTGTCTGTTCTGACTCCGTTGCCCTCGTGCTGTAACTTAGGAGGCAATCAGGAGATCTAGGGGTTGGGTAATGTTGAAAAGGCCACATGCGTTTGTTTGAAGAACATACCGTCTTCGATCCTAAGGAAGAGGTGGATAATTTATCCTCAAGATTTTCTATGGATCCTTGGGCGAAGCAACCAATGCCTGTGTGTCTCTGAGATTTTTGAAAAGCAGCCCTGAACCGTGTGTCTGATCGAGCTCAGACAAATTCCTGAGATCAGCCCTGTCCAATTCGGTAGCCCTAAGCCACATGTGACTACTGAAATTTGAGTTAATTACAATGAAATGAAATGAACATTTCAGGCCGTCAGCTGCACAAGCCACATTTCAGGCGCTCACCGGCAGTGAACTGAGTTCTAAATTTGATTTCATTTTAATCAGTGTAATTTTCAGTGGCCCGTGTAGCTGGAGGCTGCCCTGTTGGACAGCACGGATGAGGGAAATGAGCTGTTGGGATGGGCACGATTTCAACCCCATTATTAGTCTCTTTGGAAGTTCTCCCATGAGCCCTCGTTTTTCAGATTTCAACTTAATTAACGGATACTGATTATGGAGTCACACTCCCTAGGTTGAAATCCGGCCTTCATCTTGTAGGAGCTGGGTGGCCTTGAACGCTGTCCTCATTTATGGACTTTGGAGAATAACAGTACTTCCTTTGTGGGGGTTTTTGTAAGAAGAAAATGATAATACACTTACGCTCCTTCATAGCCTTTGGTACCTATGACCCTCTCTAACGTTTACCTGATCCTTTTTATTATTATCATTTCTCTCTCATCCCAAACATACTGCTGCACGGTTTTGGCCTCTCGGAATGTTTTAGCTTCTGATATCCGCCAGCTGATACCAACCAGCAGCTGTGCCGGCTGCATTTTTAGGTTTGAAATGGCTCCCGTCGCTTCCTCTTTCTCCTGACCCGGATGAGCAGAGCATGAGAAACAGGAACTAAAGAAATCCATTGTGTGCCCCTGTGTTTGCATGGATCTGTCAGACACATCAGTGTGGAAGGGAGATTGTAGCTGGTATCCGTAGCACGGTTTCCTTACTCATCACTGGAGCAGACCCTAAATAGCCTTTCACATCCTACGCCACGCACACGCACACGCACACGCACAGGCACCAAGGGTGTGGTGTTGACTGGCCTTGGAAGGTCAGTCTTTTTGCTGCTTACCCTCGCGGTTGCATTTGCATTTTGCTAGGAAACAGTAGTCTTCTGCGAAGGCAGCTTTCTCAGCTGTCTGTGTACCTTTAAACTCCAGTCTGTGAGTGAAGGTACATGTCACAGAAGGCTTAGTCCAAACACCCTTGATCCTTCAGCGAAAGCTAGGTTTTAGGATGATGGAATTTTTTTTCTCTTCCTTGCTCAGTAACTTACATTTTGACCAAGTCTGCAGTGTTTAATCTGGCACAAAGCATGAACTTTATGTGGGCAGCATGTTTCCTTAGGACAGATCTGGAAAACCAGGTAGCCCCAGTAGCTCACCAGTCAGGTCTGGGCTTTGACACCTGCCGATTGGTTTAGGACTGGGAGTGTCCTGTCTCTTCTCCATGGCAAGCATCCACCATCCCTTATACTCACGCGGAATGAGCCAGGGGGGCACAGTCGCCATCTGCACCCCCACCGCGTGGAGTCTGGCAGAAGCTCTTTAACCCTGCTGCTGTCCAAACATGCCTCCAAAGCGGCTCACAGCCCGGGTGATGGTAGCATTAGAAATAGGAGTAGCAGCGTCAACAGCCACCACCAGGACTGGGTGTTTCTTGGGGACCAGGTACAGTTCTAAGCACTTTACAGGCACTCACTCACAGCATCCCTGCAAGGTAGATACAGTTGTTATTCCCATTTTACAGATGAGGTAGTAAGATGCAGAGAGGCCACCCAGCTTGGAAGTAGAGGAGCAGGACTCAAACTTGGGCATTCAAGCTCCTGAACCTGTGCCCTTGACCCCCGTACCATAGCAGATGTGGGTCACGGTGATGATGCTAAGCGGTGATAATTGCAATAAGCCACTGACTGTGACGTGATATGTTAATGAGCTCATATATAACATCTCTTCAAGTCTTCATAACAACCCTGTGAGATAAGTCTGATTATTGTACCCATTTTATGGAGGAGTACACCAAAGTTCATAGGTGTGGCCTTCCCCATGGTCACCGCTGATGGCCAGGACCTGAACCTGGGTGTGATCGTCTTCAGAGCCCTTCCTTTCAGCCTCTCTGATGTGCATCCTCACAGGAAGGACTGTGTTCACAGTCAGGAGAGGTACACGTGACTCCATCTGAGGGGACGAGGATTCCTTTTCCTGTTGCAGCCAGTTTGCTGATGTGTCTCTCAGGCCCTGGCCGGGCTGGACAAAAGGTGGAGAGCACAGGTGTCAAATGAGAGCTGATTGGCAGAGCCAGAGGCGGCAGTCAAGGTGATGTGCCTGGGTCAGAGGCAGGAAAGACAAAGGGGACAAGGACAGACCGTCCAGGGATTGGCACCCAGGCAAGAGGCACTGAGGGAGAGGACGCCAAGGCTGCAGTGCCTGTTAGGTTCTGGGTTCAGGTCACACTGGGGCCAGGTATAGAGTAGAGCTGGAATTGGGACTGGTTATCTCAGGCAGAGGCCACACCAGAGAATAGCTGGGGACTGTCAGCTGGTCCCCAGGAAAGGGCTCTGTGGACAGTGATGAGTTTCCTTGAGGATCAGCCAAATTCTATCAGGAGTGGCTTGAGTCAGAGAGATGGGACCTCTAGGAAGGAAAAGCAGATATGGGTGGCAGTGAGAGAAAAGGAAAGATGGTTTCTGTTCGTTCATCCAGTTGTTCATTCACTCGTTCATTCATTCAGCA